AGTTTTAGTACAGTTTATGAATTCACACTTCTTCCCATACCATGGATCATTACAGTTACAGTCACCATGAGAACACTCTTCAATATCATGAACACACAGGACAGTGGAGACATTCCTTGGGCATTGGAACAATGGATCGGCACCATCAATATGACTAGTATAATAATAATAATAATAATAATAATAATAATAATAATAATAATATTGAAATTAAGAATTAAAGGAGATTACTACATTAAAAGATGGTTTATTGAGGTATTAATATTAGCGATTGACAGCTACTGGTATAAAACCTGCCATTTTGTTTTAATCTTATAATACATAATTGGTCAATATAAAATTAACTAATATTAATATATAACCTCCCATAAATGCAACATCTTTTACAGTATATTATTATTATTAATAGGTTAATAACTACCAGTAGTCCCCAGGGTAATTGAGTATAGTGTCTCCTTCCATCAGTAGACTGGACCCACCTCCATCAAGATTAACAGCATTAACTACACCTCTCTTGATTAGCATGTCAGCAAACTGGAACAGATTGACTCTAAAATAAAAACAAAAATAAAAATTATAAATAAAAGTACATGTATTATATACAACATACCGTATAGCCAAAAATTTTCGAGGCTTAAAATTTCGTGAATAATGAAATTTATGGAGAAATTTTAAATTCCGTGATAAATATTTTTGTGATTTTATTTTAATAATAATAATGACCACGCCTTATTTAATTAAAACATGGCAGATTCAATGTTTGAGACAGACTCTTGTGTCAAGGGCCACCATGTCTACAAATCAGTATGGACACCAGTGATGGGAAAGATCATCATCTTTGACCTAGGCAGTATGCTTAAAATAGCAATACAGAGTAACAGAGACAGCTTGACCGAGAACACGACTTGACACGAGGGCATGTTTATTAGTAAGGCGTGGTTACCACGTCTCTCAATTAATATTAATTTTCGGGGGTTTATTTTTTCGTGATGCAAACAGTGATCACGAAAATACAAAAATTTATTCCTCACAAAATAAATGCATTTTAATTAATGCATTTGAACATAAATGCATTAATTAAAAAGAAAAGAGTCTATTTGGCTTTGAATAAAGTGTAATATCCTTCAATAGTACACTACACAATAATAATGGACAATAGTCTAATTGTATTGTATTGATAGTTTCAGTGAATTTAATAAAGACACTGTAGGATCACATCAGCCTCCAAATGAAGCAGTAGACATAAAGTGACATAATAACAAATAAAATGTAAAGTAAATTACACAATAAAACATAAGGGCATCAATGTATCAAAAAATGTAATAAAAATTTGGGATGATTTTGGAGCCAATTTTTGAAAAAAGCAGGGATTTTTTCAGAAATTGGCCAATTTTTAAAATGGCCGTAACTTGAAAAATTTAAGTCGGAATCAGCTCAAAAACTTTCTACACAGCATAAAGGCATCAACATGTATCAGAAAATGTAATAAAAAATTGGGGTGATTTTGGAGCCATTTTTTGGAAAAAACCATGGGCTATAGCACAGGGATTTTTTCAGAAATTGGCCAATTTTTTTAAATGGTCGTAACTTGAAAAATTGAAGTAGGAACCAGCTCAAACTTTCTACACAGCATAAGGACATCAATATGTATCAGAAAATGTAATAAAAATTGGGGGTAATTTCGGAGCCATTTTTCGAAAAAAAAACCATAGGCTTGAAGTCAGAATCACCTCAAACTTTCTACCCAGCACAAGTACATCAGTACATTATTATTATCCTCTTACCCTCTCACTAGTGACTTCCCTTCAACACGAGCCAGTACTACTCTTCCTCTATCATCATGTCCAATGGCAGCACGAGCTGAAGTGATCCGTACAAAGTTATTCATGCTGATACCTCTGGAGTTACGGGAGCACTCGATGTACATACTCTTATTAAC